TAAGAACCAGATTATTTTTATGGTGTCCTGTGTGTAAAACCTTAGAACTGAAAGAAAATGTACTTTCTATTTCACGCGATTTTAAAATTCTCAGGGATAAAACATTAATTGTTTACTTCTAATCGGTTTGTATTAGCAGTTTAGTTTTGACTATCTAGCTAGAAAAACAGAATATTGTTTTTTAATTTAGTTTACAAAATTTACAGATCTACAAAAATCTAATTTACTATTATAAAACGAATAACAATCAAATCGTCATTTTACACTAAAGACATGCATGGTGTTGCTAGCTGATGAGCATAAAGGTCTGCTGGATGGGACTAATATTTCATAGCTACATCAGTAAAGAAAGTAAAGTAAAGTAACCTTTGAATGATACCAAATGAAAAGCGGGCTAGTGTAATTAGGGCAGCTTAAAGAAGAGCTAATCTTTTAGAAACCAGTGTTAATTATTCTAGGGGAGCTTCACAATGATGCAGAACGTAGGGCAGGTTATTTTCAAAGCCCTTCATGTTTCTGTGTTATTAAAGTGTTTTTGACATCTTTTTTACTCACCACTCACTATCATCAGGGAAGATGTCTTCGTTCTCTTCTTCCTGACTTTCCGTATCCTTTGCATCTTCTTCTGTTTTCAGCCTCATTAGCCAATCATCTTGCTGCAGCTCTGGCTGTGGCAGATTGTAAAGCGGATGCTTGAACAGTGCCTCAAGCTTAGAAGGACCATCGACTTTCTGAATTATTTTTCCAACTCCAATCAGTTTCTTTGACTTCTCAGCGACCTCATTTAATGAGCCTCGGACTTTATGGTGTAACATGTTTGCAGTCGGTTTGTGACGCACTTCATCGTGGGGGCGCCTCTGCAGTTTGTTTGAGGAGGCAGCATCAGAAGCAGGAGACTGGGAGACAGACTCGTGATGGTGAGTATCTGTTCTGGGAATGGAGGAGGAAGAGGAAGAAGTGGGAAAAACACAGGCAGTCTGGAGGACTGAAAGGCAAAAAAATGCCAGTAGGACATGGAGACTGAGGGACAGACAAGCCAGTCCCAGATAGATGGAGCGAGTGGACTGACCCAGGTTGCGTCTAACCATGCTGGAAGATAAAAGGATAAAACAGACCAAGGAGGCCTGTCAGCATTTCAGACTTGCACATGATAAAATATTTCCTACATATTGCATAATACACAGACACCCAGATAAACAGCAGCATGTATTTCATGCTTACTTGTAAAAACAGACCCTCCATATACCAGATTTCATGGTAACATGCTGTAATGCAGCTGGACTAGGCAAACTGCTGGTGCTTGCAACATCAGTGTGCTGCTTTGTTTGGTAGGTATGAGATTTACAACTCAAAACAAAATGACAGCCTGGTGGTCCGTGTCGCAAGAGGGAAAGTTGGGTGATCATCATCTTCATTAAAATCTGTCATTTTGGAGCCACGAGGATGGTAAAATCCCTGCGGAATTGGGAAAATGTGATAGTTCCTCTAACCATCTGTTGTCAGTGCTTAATATGAGAGCCGCGTTAGAAGTCATTAAGCTCACTGAACGTCTGCGCGGTTGCTTCCAAATATGGCAAACTGACACCATTCAAAGTGTAGTAAATGTTTTTACAGCATCATGATCCGATACACTGCACATGGACATTTAAAGAAAATAAAAGAATTAGAAGGATATCATAATGTCTCGAATTGTAAAAGGTTTCAACATGCTTTATTTAT